CAATAGCAGCATCGGCAATAGTTTTCGCCTCCTTGATTCTCTCGACCCCACAAACTTGTGCTAGTGTAGACACAGCACGGACTGCCGGCTCCGGAGGACGTTGCCATAGCATCAAGTATCCTTTCACGAGCGCAGTATGACCATCGTTGTTTTGTATGTCCATGTCAGTGTGCCCTTCCTCGTGAAGTAGTACCCACACGCATGGCTCATGTCCATGAAATGTAGCCAAGTGCAATGCGGTATCTCCATTCTTGTCTTGCATATTAGGATCAGCTCCGTATATTAAGAACGCGTGGAGTATTTCAGCGTATCCTTCAATAGCAGCAGTATGTATCAAGATACCAGCATCTCCTCGCAGCAATTGCTTCAGGCCGCTGTGATCACCTTCCTCGTCCACTGCTCCTCCAAGGTGTTCTCGACCAAATTCAAATGCATTGAGAACACGGCTGATATCGCCCGCCTTCACCGCTGACTTGAGTTCGCGATAAACCGAATAGTTGCGATGCCCTGTCGTTGCTTTGGCCTGCATCATCTGTGCCGTATTCAGTTGAATCTCGCACATGTGCCCTTCGAAAGCAACAACAGTTTGGATATCACGGTAGCCTCCAGGCAGTGGATCCTGATATCGATCATTAAGCTCCTTAACATTGTCACCAAAATGTTGAATCAAAGTGTTCAACCCATCATACAGATCTTCGACGTTTGTAAATTCCAATGTTCCACGGACCAAATCTGTCAATCTATACCATGAAATAGTATTATTCTTGGGGTTGCGATACTTAAAAGCCCCCTTCATACGTGCCCGAACTTTGCTCTTTAACGGCCCAACTACTGCTCGACAGTTGTTACTTTTATCCGCCAAGTCGCCAAGCATCTTGGAAAAGTCGCCCAGCACTGCTTCTGCTTTCGAGTAGAGATCATCCAGAGTTGGAACATACTTCTGGTTTATCAAGCTTGTGGAAAATCCTGTGCGTTTGCTTGTGTCATGGGGGAATAAATGGTTAAGTTCGGCCTGTAGCTTTGCATTATTGACAGAGTCACAGAGTGCACGACTTCGCTCTGCTTGTTTGGCCAACGCTTCCGTGCCACCAATCATGGAAAGAGCTTCACCATAAGTGATTGGTTCTAACTTTACATCACTGGTGGTCTTTGCTGCTGCTTTGGGTCCAGCAATCTCAATCTTTTTCTTTGGTTCCTCTTTGTTTTGGGCAATGATTACACGTAGCTCTTGGACTTCTTTCTTCAGATCCTTGATCTGCTTTTGAGTTTCCTGTCGGAACGCCGCAAACTGCAGGAGAAGCCCTGTTACTTCGCTCATACGCTTCGTTACTATCGCTTACTTGCGACAGTGTGTATATTCAAGATCGTCGGAGAACTCGCTGTCATGGACTTTATGCTGCAGTGTTTGGGAGCTATTTGCCATATCATCTCTGAAATGAAACGATGAGAACTCAAATTGAAAATATCTTTCTGTGGAGCAGTCGAAGTAATCGAATATCCAAAATTGTTGTGATGCGCGATGGATGCCGCTATCGGTAGGACGTTCCGTACGCATTCACGAGATGTGCCTCGCTAAATGGACTA